AGTTGAAGCAGAGCTCCACTTTAAGCTTTTGTCCCCCGCTCCCCCTTTAAGGATTGGCACCTTTGAGGAGCTGGTACCCGAATTTGACAGGTACCCGCTCCCACTGTGATCGCCTAGGTCCTCCTACGTGACAGGTCCCAGAAGACTGAGGGACCATTCACAAAGTGCAGAGCTACTCGTGCATGCGAAGTGGGCACCTGTCTGTGAAGCCGAAAGCTGTCACAGCCGGGTGCCCACACTGAAGATGCTGGCACTGGGGAGAGAAGACGGCCGGTGAAACCAGCCATGGTGAGGACACCGCTGGACCGAGAGACAGGTAAGTGTCTGTATTTTAAAAGTCAGCAGATACAGAGGTTGTTTATACTACTTCCAACACTATTCTTATGAATGTTTGTTAGCTATCCAAAATGACACGTTACCTGCATTTAAAAAAAAATGGAATTCTTGGTTCATATGGTTTAAAACTTGGTGATATTGAAATTTTGTATAGGATTTATGTTTCCTATGAGTACACAAATGTACTATGCTGCCATTCTAGGTCATACTTTGTATGTGAATAACCCTGTATTTACTCCCTTCTTTCTTTATCTTCTCCCCTCCTTCTGACGTGCTGGAGAACCTGTACTAACCATTTGACTCTGATCTCTGTAGGACCACATGTATAATGTTTATGTTTTTTATGTTCCATGACCATTATTCTGTCCAACATGTTTACTAGTTGTTTATGTCATATCATACAACATATCTGTATGTTATGTATGTAATTTGAAAATGTTTCAATAAAAGATCTAACATTTAAAAAAAAAAAAAAAAAAAAGTCAGCAGATACAGTTTTTGTAGCTGCTGAATTTTATTTTTTTTTTTTATTCAACTGGAACTCAGTTTTAACATTCTTACTGTTTAGGAGGAAAGTCAAGTAGAAAAATCATGATGTCATCACTTTAATTCAAAAGATAACAGTTTCAGATGTGCAGATGAGGAAGTGTAAATGCAGGGGAGACGTCACATGCTCCACTCTCACGCTTCATTTATTAGAAACTACAGTTCCCATCATGCAAAGGGAATTGTAGTGTATGCGGGTGGGTACACCAAGCCTGTGTACTCGCCTACTTCTACAAAACATTACACCCCCATATTCTTGCATTCTCCAACCTCACTCACTGACACAAGGCATAACTAGATAAATGAAACATATTTTCATCCTGTAGATTTGCTGATTTCAGAACACTGGCCGCTGTAGTATATGCTCAGAGTTCTACTTTAGGATATATCAAATGTTACATTGCTGCATAGAGAATAACATCTTTGACAGCCTTTCTCGACCTTTTTAACTTGGAGAAACCCTTGAAATAACTTTCTGATTTCAGGGATCCCTTGCTAACAATTACTATATCTGGTACATCAGTGTGATGGTCAGTAGGGTGTTCATTATGAAGAATCCATCCCTTACAGATAGCTAAAATATTATTGTCAGTGGATACTAAGAGTCAGAAATTGCTCATTACTCAAGGAAGCCCTGGAGGAACCCTGGTTGAGAAAGGCTGATCTACAAAGTGCAATATATGAATCATTAGCATCACCTGTATCTCCAGAGCCAACAATGGTTTACAAACACTTCTAAACCTCTAAGGAACAAGCTTCCAGCCAGTGCCAACATCTACCAAAAATTGAAGGTTTACAAAAGACCTGCTTGTTCTTTGATCATTGGCAGCTGTAATCATTACTATAATATTTTCTGTTGGAATAAAACTTTGCTTTTACATCTAGCCGTTAACAAAGCAGGTCTCGGGAGGGCCTCTGGGCCTCGACAGACGCCAATGTTGATGATTTATATCAGAAATCTCTTTAACCCATCAGTGTCTGCTTAGATGAACTCTAATTACAAGACATCTGATGACAAATCGTCACCTAACATCCCATGGGGTGCATTCTGTTAACAATAATCTCATGTAATGGCTCATTTCCAAACAATCAAATACCTTAAAAGGAAGACAAAGGCATCTGTTTATAGTAACAAGTCACCAGTGTAATATAGGAAATATTTCCACCAGCTGGTTTTGCGTCAGTCCGCGTCTGGTGACATAGGCTGAGCCGGACACGTCCATCCCTCTTTGTAGGGCACATCAGATCAAAGTCCATACACATCTGAGGTGTCTGTGGAATTTTGCTGTTTCATTCCCGAAGTTACTCTTTATTAGGACATGGTGGATCTTGCTATTGTTTGTGCTGCAAAGATGCATCAAGTGACAGTTGTACAGATCAGTGTCTGTTGTCTGTGTCATCCTGGCCATTTAATCCAGATGTATGCCAGAAGAAGACAAAGAGCACAGGGCACAGATCAGGACATGGACAGAGTGTGTATGTGGTGCACCCATCCATGAACCCAGCTGTCATCCCCAGCACCCCAGCCAGCCTTCTCCTTCCTCACCCCGGGCACATCCTGTACACAAAGTGATGGCAGCTTCCATCTCCCACCTCCCCTTCCTCTCTCTCCCACCCATGGCTCGGATCACTGCTCCCCACCACACTGCACCCCATCCATGCAACACAACATCAGCAGCAACAAACCAATACACACCCTGATGTCAGCGTCACCGGAGCCGCTGTCCAAGGCCGGCCGAGATCACAATGTCCTGGATCGAATGCAATGCCCTAGATCAGGTGTTACCCGGAATCCGACATCCCCCGCGCCCCCGCCAACGTGCACGCCCCCCCACTGGGAGCTCCCCGTATAACAAGGATCTGCTGGGCGCTATGGGGACTATACCGAGGCAGCGCCACCTAGTGACCGGCCTGGAAGACCACAGCCAGGCGAGGGATGCGGGGATGCGGACTCTCCGCCGCTCTAATAACCGCCTCATCCTGGCCGCCCGTCATGACCCGTTAGGTGCGGTATCGGCTCGTAACGTTCGCTCTAGATTCGCTTCTTCTACTAACCCCATCCGACCGGGAGAAGCCAGTGGGGGGCGACTTTGCGGATATCGGTTGTGGTACATACCTCCCCTCAGAGCAGCCATTCTGGAGCAGGTCACATGGGCGTTGCGTTGCAGGGATGATGGTCATAGCCATAGCAACAGGGAAGGAGCTTGGAGGGAAAGGATGGAGTGATGTGGAGGTGACGGTTCCTGTGACCTCTCCATGTCCCAGCTCCAGGGTCCAGACATACCTCAGAGCTGGGGCCCAGCAGAATCCGAGGGACATGGTGCGCACATTGTGGGTGGGAAACAGTGGTCGCCATGGGTGATGTTACTACGCGTGCTTCCGTTTCTTTGCTCCTAGGTGGCTAGAGAGATTAGAAAAGTCATCCTGACTTGGGGACGTTCAACGCAGTGTTCATTTTGACGTTACATTTCGATTCAGTTTTAGTCATAGTCTTTGGACTAAAATGCCATTTTAGTTTTAGTCGTATTTAGTCATCTGAATTGTTTTAGTTGTATGTTAGTCCACTAAAATCATTGTAGTTGACTGAAAGCAATGGGTTTAGTTAAATTGCAATGCGTTATTTAACCTCTTCGCGCCGCCACCTCCCGACCCTTTAAGAGTTTTCAGAAGGCGGGAGGTGGATGGGGTTTTAGGGTCATGTGACCGCCGTGATTCGCCGTCATGGCAGGCACATGATCGGAAAAGGTCCCAATTGAAAGGGGAGATCGGGACCTTTCCATGAGTCATGGACATACAGTGGGGATCGAAAGTTTGGGCACCCCAGCTAAAAATTTGTATTAATGTGCATAAAGAAGCCAAGGAAAGATGGACAAATCTCCAAAAGGCATCAAATTACAGATTAGACATTCTTATAATATGTCAACAAAAGTTAGATTTTATTTCCATCATTTACACTTTCAAAATAACAGAAAACAAAAAAAATGGCGTCTGCAAAAGTTTGGGCACCCTGCAGAGTTAATATCTTGTACTGCCCCCTTTGGCAAGTATCACAGCTTGTAAACGCTTTTTGTAGCCAGCCAAGAGTCTTTCAATTCTTGTTTGAGGTATCTTTGCCCATTCTTCCTTACAAAAGTCTTCCAGTTCTTTGAGATTTCTGGGCTGTCTGTCACGCGCTGCTCTTTTAAGGTCTATCCATAGATTTTCAATTATGTTGAGGTCAGGAGATTGTGAAGGCCATGGCAAAACCTTCAGTTTACGCCTCTTGATGTAATCTCCTGCGGATTTCGAGGTGTGTTTAGGATCATTATCCATTTGTAGAAGCCATCCTCTCTTTAACTTCAGCTTTTTCACAGATGGCATCAAGTTACCATCCAAAATTTGCTGAAATATTATTGAATCCATTTTTCCTTCTACTCCTGAGATGTTCCCTGTGCCACTGGCTGCAACACAACCCCAAAGCATGATTGATCCAACCCCATGCTTAACAGTTGGACAGAGGTTCTTTTCATTCAATTCTGTGCCCCTTCTTCTCCAAACGTACGTTTGCTCATTCCGGCCAAAAAGTTCAATTTTAACCTCATCGGTCCACAGAACTTGTTTCCAAAATGCATCAGGCTTGTCTATATGTTCATTTGCAAAGTTCAAACGATGATTTTTGTGGTGGTGAGGACGTAGAAGAGGTTTTCTTCTGATGACTCTTCCATGAAGACCATATTTGTAAAAGTATCTCTTTATAGTGGAATTGTGTACCACAACTCCAGTGTCTGCCAGATCTTTCTGGAGGGATCGTGCAGTCAAACGTGGGTTTTGAATTATTTTTCTCACAATCCTGCGAGCTGTTCTGTCTGATATTTTTCTTGGTCTTCCAGATCTTGCTTTAACTTCCACTGTTCCTGATGACTGCCATTTCTTAATTACATTCCGAACAGAGGATATTGACATCTGAAAACGCTTTGCTATCTTCTTATAGCCTTCTCCAGCTTTGTGAGCATCAACTATTTTCAGTTTTCTAGACAACTGCTTAGAAGAACCCATGGTGCTGATTGTTGGGGGGGGAAGGTCAGCTGAGTCTGGGCATTTAAAACCTTTGAGATTGACATCACCTGGTCTTCCCAGACGATGATGAGAACAATCCATGACACTGGCAGGTCTCAGCTTTGCAAAGGGGGCAGTGCATGCTATAAATTCTGCAGGGTGCCCAAACTTTTGCAGACGCCATTTTTTTGTTTTCTGTTATTTTGAAAGTGTAAATGATGGAAATAAAATCCAACTTTTGTTGACATATTATAAGAATGTCTAATCTGTAATTTGATGCCTTTTGGAGATTTTTCCATCTTTCCTTGGCTTCTTTATGCACATTAATACAAATTTTTAGCTGGGGTGCCCAAACTTTCGATCCCCACTGTATGTGGTGGCAGCGCGCACTCTCAGCACATATGTATTTTCTAATTGCACGCAAATATGTGGTCGCTCGGCCTCAAGGCCCAGATGCTGAGAGGCTGCATATTTGCATCGGCCTCAAGGGGTTAAAGGATAAGTTCACCTTTGTATAAAAAAATAGTAAACATATTTTTTGCAGGTAAAAAAAATGTGCATTTATTATTTTTTGTCTACAGGAGCCTGAAAAGCATTGCACCAGAGTTCAGTAGATCGCTGATGCCATGCAGTCCTCCTGCAGACTTGTCAGAATATCTGCTTGCCGCACAGGATATGCGAACCAGCAGATATTCTGACAGGAAGCTTCAATGAACTACCACAGAGCTCCACAGCGCCGGGGTAGTTCATTGAAAACTACAAGCCCGCTAAGGCTGTCGGGACTTGTAGGTACTCATCCACAGAACTGTGTGAAGGAGTGATGTAGCCGTGTGGGCGGAGCCCCGCACGGCCACACTTTTCGAACTTGACAGTACGGTAAAACTTCCCGTTCTATCTGTCGGGGGGGGGGGGGAGCTTTGGGTGCAGCTATGAGAACATGTTACATGTCTCACCCTAAAAACATGTAACATGTTCAAAAGGTGAACTTATCCTTTAAACATTTCTCTGGAATTTCCAAACTCATTATATACTGGAGTAAAAATAATCTAATAACATGTAATTTATGGTATTAAAGTGGTTGTAAAGACCAGTGCCAAGTTACATATATGCCGATTGGATGCAGTTTGAACCGCATCCAATCCGTATGACATCTGAAATAACATTGCTTCCTATGGTGCCTGTTCACATATGTCCTGTGCACTAGCAGTGCGGTTTGAAAAAGAGTCCTGTCCGATTTCTGAGCAGTGCGGTCCAGTTCAGGTGCAGATTACAGACTATTGACTTCTATGGGAACCGTTTCTAAACCGCACATGTGTGAACAGGATAAAATCCTGAGCTAATCCTGTCCTGAACCTGATGTAAACCTCACATGAACTGCTGAACATTGACTGCGTCAGCTGTGAAACCTCAGCTTCAACCACACCACACATGTGTGAATCAGCTCTCAAGGTTTTTTTAGCTTCATGCATTGTATGCATGAAGGTAAAAAAACCTTCTGTGCCCCAGCCCCCCTAATATCTAAGCCCCTTCTTGATCCAGCCATGTGCACCAGAGTCTCGGCTATCCCAGGGCTCCCTTTCCTTATTGGCTTACGCTGCTGTCAATTACAGCCAAAGAAAAGAGAGGGGGCAGAGCCAAACTGCAGCTCCGTGTGTGAATGGACACATGGAGCAGCAGCTGGGGAGTGTGCATGCTCAGGTGCCCCCATAGCACGCTGTTTGTTGTGAGGGCACCCAACAGGGGGGAGGGGCCAGGAGCACCAGCAGGGGCCCTTAGAAGAGGAGGATAGTATAGACGTGTTTGTTTTTTTAATTTAAGCATTTAGAAATAACTTTAATGTGTGAAAATACACTACAGACACATATTTATCCATTAATATTTAACTTATATATCACGACTGCTAAATCTTTGGCTGTAGTCTGTACTGATTTTGTTTTAGTTGTAGTCTTTTGACTAAAATGCTAGTCACGTAAATAGTCATGTAAAATAGTGTTATTTCGTCTACAAAAATATTTTTGCAGACGAAATTAACACTGGTTCAACAAGGCCTTGTTTACATGGGAGACAAAAATAGGCGGTTGAACTGCTGCTGATAAAATAATAAATGCATTTTTTGCAGGAAAAAACAAAATGTGCATTTATTTATTGATTTATTTTCTAAGGAGTCTTCAGAGCGTTGCACCCACAATCATCAGCAGAACATCACAATGTCAGTGTGTCTTCTCATACCTGCAGGCAGTTACTGAATGACAGGAAGAATCAGTGAACTACCTAGAGTGCTCATCAGCACCCTGGTAGTTCATTGAGAACTACAAGATGTCAGCTGCAATGGCTGACAGTAGTTGTACTTTTCTCATTCAGAGAACTCTGTAAATTAATGATAGGGGCTCTGTGGGCGATGTTCCGCACAACTGCTTTTTTGGTTTTTTTAATTGTGACAGCAGGAGCAGGTAGAGGATCCCTGGCCCACTGTCACAATGGGGGCTGCTCATTTAATAACATGTTACTAAAGGTGAATTTATAATTTAAAGTGACTGTATATGCAAAAATTATCATTTAAAAATAGGGTTTACACTGACCTGCTGTGTGCAATGGAGTAGCTTCCTCTCCAGAAAGTACCTCCATAGGAAGATACAGTGCTGACAGATTCGTCAGAAAACCTTTATGTTCCTTTTAGAATCAACATTTTTCATGGGACACTATACTACAAAATATTTCCGCAAATGCAGGTCATTGATTGCAAACAAGATTTGTTAATTTGCATACACAAAAAGTATTTTTCCCCACCAGATATGAGCCATTGTGCCCTTACTCCCACATCCTCTCCAGCACTGAGATGTAACTTCTGGCCTTAATGTGTGCATCACTTTGGGTGTAATATACCATCTTACTAGGCACTTATAATTAATTTCAACTATATTCATATTCACCGCCCCCATGTGTTATTATACTAAACATTTTATTTTTTTGTTGCTCATTCAATTTTCATTTCAAATTCCATTTCCCACTTTTCCAAAAATGTTTGGGATGTTTGTCCCTCTATCTCAGTAAGTATTCTATATATTCTTGAGGTATTTTGTTTCTGTACTCCATTTATACTCAACAGTTGCTGTAATGGGTACATTTCATCCTCATTCCTTAGCGGTTGTGGAAGTTCTTGCAACAAAAATGTCTTATTTGGCAATATCGCCACTCATCCAGTGTAGAAAATATTTCCATTTTACTCTTAAACTCGTGTAATGAACATAATACTCCTCTATCCACAATATCTTTTAATCGTGCATTTTTATCCATTATGCATTTCCCTGAAAATATTGTCAGTTCAGGGCAGGAAAAAAAAACTGGTTCCCGGCAACGGGGATTGACAGTGAATTACATTTCCATTCCTTCTGCTTGTGCTTTTCATCCCAAAATCCTAAATGCATTCTGTGTCAAAGTGCTTGTGTCCTCATCCCAAGTGCAAAATTCCTGTGGTATCCATAATTATACTTTTCTAATGGTGCCTTACTAAGTGCGCTTTCCATTCTTACCAAACTTCTCCCCTTTATATTGTGCATCCAATTCAACTCTATTTGTGTGATAATAGTACTGAGTTTGTTATAATACCTCCTAAAGTTTGGCATATTTAATTCCCCCTCTTTTTTTTATTGCTGCATAAAACCTCCATACTTGACTCTTGGGTTTTTTGTTAGTCCACACATATCCTAAGTATCATTTGTTTGAGAACCATGAAGGACCCAGGAAGATTATATTGGAATCATATTAAATTTATATAACACTTTTGGTACTATGATCATCTTAATTATACTTATCCGACCTATGCAGGACAGTTTTCCCATAATTTAATATAAAACTATTCCCCCTGCGCTCCACTGGAAAAAACAGACAAAACCCTAGATAGATGCAAGCTGCTACCACCTATTCCCAATACCTCAGGATATGTAACATAAATAAACAATAATGGTGAAGCGCTTCACATATAATAGCTCAATGGTATAATGCAATAAATATATATACGCATAAAATAGCAAACTGTATAAATAAACAAAATCAGTGAATTAACACTCATACTTTAATATTGCCCAAATATGTGAATACCAAGTGCTAAAGTGCAGACAGGTCATGCAATTGCTGACTTATATTATTAGTGTCAAAATAAAATTCATTCAAGGTAAAATTTAAATGCAAGGAAATATATTGCACCTCTCTAGATAAAAGTGACAAGTGCTCTAACTAGAAAATGAATATAAATATGGGTCAAAACAGAGTCCATAATAAAGTGCAATAATAGGTGCTTGAAAGTTGATGTGCAAAAAAACACGAAATCAGTGCTTCAAAATTCTTCACTCCAAAACATGATGCGTGTTAACGTGCCACACGTGTGCATCTTAATCCGAAAGTGGCTAAAGTGCCTCCTCACCTTATCTATGCGACCCCTAAGGAACCACAACGCTTTAAGCAATAGTGCTCCTCACAACTAGGGATCTCTGGTAATTGGCTCCTGTAGTACCACTCAGCCTCCTCTGCCAGGTCACTTTTGCCCTCAACAGATGGTTACAACATCAGGAGTATCATAAGGCCGAAAAGAGGTAAACAAAGAGAGCCTCCATAGGGAAGTACCGTCCATTCCAATAGCAGACAAAATAAGCCAAAAGGAACACACAGTATTTGCAGGTATCAAACAGCGGCCCGGCCACGTGCTGTGGGTGGACTGCAGGGTCCCGGGTGTCCAAAGATAGCGCCCACCGGATGCACGTGACCGAAGTGCACCACCGCACTCCACACGCCACTCCAAGTGTCACCTGAAGAGGTATAGCAGATAGACGGTACTTTGACTATGGAGGCTCTCTATCGAAACATTAATCCCCAGTCCACTCTATCAAAAGCTCTCTCAGCATCTATTGCGTTAGAATAATTCCTGGTTCCTCTCCTCTTCCATTCTTTTGTAGGATAAGCAATGTTCGTAATACCATTATCTTTTCCCTCTCTACCCCAGAATAAAATCCCACTTGGTCTAAGTGTATCCAGGCAGACATCAACTCTTTTCATCCTAGTAGGTAGCTCCTTCACATACAATTTTGTATCAGCATTCAGCAAAGATATGGGTCTATAGCTGGAACACTGAGACCAATTTTTCCCCTCCTTGGGTATTACTGTGATATATGCCTGTAACGATTCCTCCCTCATCTTTGTCTCCTCTCCTAGTGCATTCATATATGAACACAGTTTATGTCAGAAATCCGGATATGACCAGAGATGTGTGGACTGACACAGGGAATATCAGGCTTCAGGAGTGATGTGGATAATATAATTTATTGTGAGATACTCCAATATACAAAACGCACAGTGCAAACCAAATAACCAAACCTTCACCCAATATATATATATGTACAGAAAATAACAGCGTATAGTCAGGGCTGGAGAGGTAGAATAATCAGGCAGGCCGGGTCAGGATCAATCGGGCGGATCAGGTACAGAGGAGTAGGCAAACGCATAATCAAAAGGGAGAGCTGGGTCGGTGCAGGCAGAGTTCAGTCTTGGTCAGAATCAAGCAAGTAGATCACAGGAGGCAGGATACAGATACAGGACAACAAAGGCTCATGGGAAACAAACACCAAGGCACTGATTTCAGGCCTGGTTTAATGTTTAAGTACACCTCCTGCAATCAACCTCAGGTGATGGCTTGATTGCAGGAGGTGAGATCCTGGCTGCTGAAAGGGCACCTGCTGGTAAGTCCCGGTACTGCAACCCATAGAGCAGGTGAGCCCACAGCACCACCAGCGGTGAGTCCTTTCTTGACAGTTTAGGGACTAGATTTTCTTTGAACTTCTTATAGTATCTTACGATAAACCCATCAGGTCCTGGGCTCCTTCCTACAGCTGTACTTTTTAATGCTAAGTTAACTTCTTCTATTAATATTGGGTTTATCCAAAGCTGCTTAGTCTACTTTTTTCTAATCTAGGTAAACTGGCTTCGTTCAGATAAATCTGCTTTCTTTTCTTCCTCTCCTCCTCAGAATCCTTCTGGTTCTTCCCTTCTACTCCATATAAACCGCTATAGTACCTCTGAAATGTGTCAGCTATATCAGTGGTTGAATATACCATTTCACCTTTTTCATTTTTATGTTATCTATAAAATGTCTTGATTTCTTATTTTACCTTCAACTTCTTCATCAGGTTTTTCACTGGTTTATTCAATAGTTATCTTCTTTTTATGTAGTTGTTTGCAGCTGGTATAATTATTCCGTTAATGTCCTAATTCTTCTTCCCAGTTTCTTTTTTTTATCTCCGCTCCTATTGCAATCAGTATCCCCCTTATATAGGCTTTATGTGCTTCCCATACCATGGCGATAGAAACCTCCTCGGATTCATTTAAAACTCAAAAATACTGATCTATTTCCTGCTTTTACTCTTATTTCTGCTTCCGGGTTTTGTAGTATGGACTCGTTCAGACGTCACAGATTCATTCTGTTCTGATTCCCCTCCAAACTGTAGTCTCTTTGTGACTATATTAGTTTTCCATCAAGGGACTCCAAGAGTCTGTGTTCAATCAATATATAATCCAGTTTTGAATACATTTTATGTGGCCGCCGAGAAAGGAAAAAAAAGGTATAGTCTCTTTCCTTTGGGTGTTTAACCCTCCAGGCATCCATCAACTGACATTGATGTAGCTTTTTTTATTAAGTGTTCTTGCATGGCAAGACCACTTACTGTTTTCTAACATATATATTCTTATTATTATAGCCAAATTTACCACCCTAATTCCTCCCGACAGTTTTTACACTACATAGATAGTAATATACTGAAATGTGCGGATCGTTCCCGATTGGTGAGTGCTATTACTTTGTGGAACGTTTTGGTTCACAAATATCGGCATTTTTGTGGTGAAATCTTGTCGCATAGGAAATGAATGGTGGAATGTTTGAAAACTAGAGTGGGAGCTGACAAAAGCTAGAGTGTGAGCTGAAAAATCAGGACATAATTTCTAAACTGCCCATCACTCCCTCATTTTCAAGCCCACCTACACAAATCTTATATCAAAACGGTTCAGCTATCCCTGCTGCCACTAAAATGTCCACGGCTAAGCGCCATAGTCCTGATAGTTTGCACAATATGACCATTTGTTTGCAACTCACGCCGCCCATTGACATTCATTGAAACTCCACTCTAGCCACCTCAAATTTGAAGGGCAATCTCTAAAGTGCGACTGTGCCTTCATTTTTAATATTTCAGAGACATACTATGCAGCAAAATGTAGGTCTGGGTCTTGTGATTCTCACAATATAAAACTCTTTGGTGTAGGATTTATAATTTTTAAACTACGATCGTTTGAAGAAGGGAACCGCCAGTGAAGTGAGCAAGTTGGAGCAGTTTATTTTTTTTAACCGCTCTTCTCTGCCCTTGCTGTAGAATGAGTTTGCCATAGGAACCCAGGTGTGTGAGCAGGCAGCAGAGTGACAAAAGCTAGAGTGTGTCAGGGGGCCTCCCCGGCGCGCCACTAGCGGCGGCTCACGCCGAGCACAGGCACCAAGTCCCGGCGGGCCGCGGGCTGACAGGACGCCACGCATGTGCAGTAGGAAGCCACAGCGTGCCTTGGGATGCAGCCAATGGACAGTCCGGGGGCCGGCGTTCCTGGGCAGCCAATGACAGTGCAGGCGCAATATTTTAAAGGATGCCCTGCACTGTC